TAGCTCTAGGAACTATGTTTAATGAGGAAATCATTTTTTGAAAAATAGCATGGTATGAATCCAATTATACGGAGCTTAAAAAGACAGAGTACCGCATCCCCTTTGTAAATGCATATTGGTAAAAAAAAAACAAATAAATAAAACACATGGGTGAAACTTGGATGAAAGGGAGGAAGGAAACAGGATGCATGGGGTGTACAACTGTATTTTTGATTATCTGTATTTCAGACAAAAACATCTGGAGGGAAAATGACAAAATGTTAACTTGTTTTTAGTCAGGATGGTGGATATGTAAATTATCAATCCTTTCATTCCCAAGACTTTGAATGTTTTATATTTTTAAAATGAAACATTTAAAAGTAAATACATCTGAAAAGCATAAAACTATAGGGATTGAAAACAGGTGTGTGCCAAGGGCTGGAGGGGAAGATGCGGTTTGACTTCAAAGGAGCCCTAGGAGTTCTCAGGGCGCTAGGACTGTTCCACGTCTGCTGATGGTGGCCTTTACACAACTGTATGGATTTGTCAAAACTCACAGATGAGCTCACTTTTTAAAAGGTGAATTTTATTGTACGTAAATTATACACTCATTTTAAAAAAGAAAAATGAAAAAATACAAATAGCAATAGGAAGAAAAGGTACACAATTAAACATCAGTTATTTTATGAGGTCATTACTTAATGAAAAAATAAAGACTATATAAAATTGATTAGTATTTGAGGTTAATGTATTCCTAATCATAAACAGTACATTTTAGTTCAATCAGTATTGTAAAAAATAAGAATAAATGCCTCTATCTATACTGCACAATCTACTGAAATGCCCAGCACTTTGTCCCTTCCTTTATCCAAAGAAAGATGCAACCTCAGACCATCCTCTCCTGTCCTGACTGCCTAAATAATTTCAAAACAAGATTTCTGACGCTCCTCTTCGTATTACTGGAGTCCTTGTAACCAGCTGGCTCTCGGAAGTATTTGGCTACTGGCTAAATGACTGAATGAAAGAATCAAGACACACTCTGAGCATCCTGCTTCTGTTTTACTGGCGGCAATGTCTTCTCTCTCCGACAGTGTGATTTGTTTGCAACTTTTCCTCTTCCTACAGGATCTCCTCTCTCAAAAGCTCTTGTTCCATGGATTTCCTTTAGTTTCACCTTTGCAGATATCAAAGGCCATGCTCAGGTTTGTGGTGACCCTTGTTGTTCTTCTCATGAGGAAGAGTGAGGGACAGGAAAGCTGATTGGACGCTATGACTTAGAGTGACTGACCATCCGTGTCTGTCCAGCACTGAGGGGTATCCCAAGGTAGGAGAGTTTCAGCACTCAAACCAAGAAAGTCCCAGGAAAATTGGGCTGAGTGGGTCATTCTGCTCTATGTCTGTGGTTTGAATTTGTCAATTTTGAGCTTCACTGGGACATTTTAGAACAGCCTCTTCATTCAGAATTTCTAGAATCTTCATCTTGTGCCAATCAGAATCCCCAAAGAAGCAATTTCCACCTCCTACCTGAAGAGTCAAGGCCTACTCTGCCAAGGTTCTGGCAACTTCCAGGATACAACCCCTTCATTCTTCTGATTTTAATGTAGATACCACATCCTCTAATGTGCCCAGCATCCCTCAATCCAGAGATCTCTCACCTTGATGCACCAGCTCTCTTGCCTCAGTTCACTGGCCTTGGCCACTCTCATGTTCACGAGATGCCACTGCAATTCCAGATATCATGATCTAACAAGACTGAAGGAGGCAAGAACAAGGACTTTCTCCTAGTGCCCTTGGCTTTTCTTCAGGCAAAACCATCCTTCCCAGAAGTCTCCTGTGCACTTCTCTTTGCTTCTGATTGGTCAAAGCTGGTCACATGCCCACACTAGGACTAATGACAAGAGGAACATGATAGGCTCTGGCAAAAACAAAGAGGAACATGACAGGCTTATACCAAAAATGATTCTCTCCCTTGGTGTGGACACATTAACACTGGAACATCAGAGTTTGTTTAATAAGAGAGGAGGGGCATGAATGTAGGTTGGCCACTGTGAATGGCTGCCTCAGCATATATGAACAAAGCATTGACCTACCTGGCATCTAGGGAGTGAAGTTACAAAGGTTTCCCACCCCTTCAAGTGCCCTAGGCCGGTCACCCTTGATAGTTGGCCCACTTGGGAGAATGAGCCTTATAAACTGAGAATGTCTGAAACCTGGTTGAGAGAGGCCTATCAGTATGAAACTTCCTCGAAAAGACGTCTCAAGGCAGAAAAGGTTTCCATCACTGTGTCAAACAGTGTGTATTTAATGCTGATTAGTGTTTCGCTAGTCACAGCGCTAAGGGTTATAACAAGATGGTGAACAGGACAAATGCGGAGAGAAAACAGTTGTTTCTTGGGCAGCTTTCCATCTTGGGGCCTACAGACTCTGCATCCAAGGGAGATGAACCCATGTAGAATGAAGGGAAACTCCAGGAGAAACATCACTAACAATCTGTTTTCTTCTTTTTTTATTCTTACAAATGTTGTACAAGGCCATGTTAGTCACTGGAAAGCTATTTCCACAGGTCCCATGGTTCTTGCCTCATAACTAGTGACCGTTGGCAACCTGGCTGCAGAACCGTGTTGGCAGGTGAGTCATTTCCCACTAGAGTCCACCCGCGCTGGTGTGGTACCTAGTCAGTGTTGCGGGCCCTGGGCAGCTCCTCTGAGGCCTAATTAAGAGGATTCCGGTGCCCATGGAGCCACCAGGGGGCGCCCGAGGAACTCGATGAACTTGAACGTCACCTATAAAGCCAACCTGCCTGCTCCTCCCCTACCCCCGTTTGTATGGTTTTCGTTGTTTTTTATTTTGTACTTTTTTTTTTTTTACATGCCTGCTTTACAACAGAAGAAACTGACCATACCAGGAGAGGCTGGGCACGTCCCTCACCCAGGTCAGATTCTGCCAGCAGGAGAGACCAGGACTCGGAGATGTGGCTCATTTCCTATGCTGGCTGGAAAAAGCCAAGGTTCACTGTCCATTGCTTCTCGGAGGATTTCAAGTTTCCTGCCCTTCCCACCGCAGTGATCTTCCTTTCAGAGCCCTGGTCAGAGCAGAGCACACACAGGCAGGGCACGTTTTATGCCAAGAAGCACCTTGTGGTCCCGTGGCCTTACTATGTACTTCGGTCATTAAGTAAACAAGGAGTCGGGTGTTAGAAGCAGTGCTAGACACCCACGAGTGTGGGCGGATGGTGTGAAGTTATAAACCTAGGAAGACACTCAGGCCTGGAAGCCTGGGCACCCAGATGTTCCCGGAGGCCTTGCAAGTCTCCATCGTCTCTACACCCCATTGCCAGCAACAGAGGAGGCTGGGACACAAGTCAGTTTTGTTGGGGGTTTATATCTGCAGTGTTGCTCTCTGCAGTTTCAGCTACTCACAGTCAACCACTGTCTGAAAGTATTAAAGAGAAAATTTCAGAAGTAAACAAGTCATAGTTTTACATCACAAGCTCCTCCAAGGGTGAGATGCAGCCTCTCACACCCTCACCTTCTCACTTGGGCTTTTGGACCATCCTCTGGCTCAGCGGCATGAGGCTCAGTGATACAGCACTTGCCTGGTACGTGTGAGACCCTGGGCTCAATTTCCAGGATTGACAAGGAAAAAAAATCGTGCACCATCTGCCGGTTCAGGGGCCCATTTGTCACCTAGTAGCCCCAGTTACGAGATCAGCCATGGCAGTCACAGTGCTTGTGTGCACGTAACCCTTGTTTTGCTGACTAACGACACTGAGCGTGACAGCAGAAATGCTTGCTATTTGGACACACTAGAGATAGGCCATAAAGAGCTTCTTTATGTGTAAAAGTGAAAGTCCAGTGAGGTATTTTGAGACCGAATTCATAGTCACTTAACTTCCCTTACCGTGTACTTTATAGTTATCCTGTTATTATTTATTGCTTATTTTTCACTTGCATAATTTGTAAATTAGTGTTTATCACAGGAATGTACATATAGGAAAAAGCAGAATATATAGGGTTTGGGACTCTGCCTGGCCTCAGGCACCCACTGGATGTCTTGATCCATAACCCTGTGGGTAAAGGGGAATACTGTAGTTTCCTGGGATGGCTGTAACCAAAGCTGAGTGGCTTAAAACAATGGAAATATGTATTCCTCTCATGGTTTTGGAGACCAAAAGTCTGAAATTGAGGGGTCCCCAGGGCCATGCTCTTTCTGGGGCTTCTAGCGAAGAATCCTTTCCTGATTCTTCAAGCTCCTGGTGTTTGCCAGCCACCCTTGGCATTTCTTGGCTTGTAGATGGTGGTCGTCTCCCTAGGTTTCTTCCTAGAATTTTTCCTCTGTGCCTGTGTGTCTGTCTCTTTTTACAAGGACACCCATCATTAAATAAGGGTCTTGTGCCCCAGTGACTTCCTTTTAATTTAAGTGCCCCTGTAAAGACTATCTCTAAATAAGGTAACATTCTGAGAACCTGAGGGTTAGGACTTCAGCATATCTTTTGGGTGGGGGGCAGTTCAACTTATGGCAGTGACCACAACATAGGGATGACAGTGTTCAAAAGTTTAGGATGAGTTGGGTGTGGTGACACATGCCTGTAATCTCAGCACTTGGGAGGCTGAGGCAGGAGGATCTTTGCAAGTTCAAGACCAGCCTGGGCTACAAAGTGAGCTCAAGGCCAGCCTGGACTGCATAACAAGACCCTGTCTCAAAAAGACAAAAAAAAAAGCTTAGGATGACAAACCCCATGATTCATGCATGCTCACGTTTCACATCACTCTGAGGTTCCAGGGTAAAGCTACAAATCTAAAGCCAAGCATGGTGGCACATACCTGTAACACCAGCACTCTGGGAGACTAAGACAAGAGGATCACAAGTTTGAACCCATTAGTGACTTAGCCCTTGTCTCAAAGTAAAAAAAGGTGCTGGAGATATAGTTCAGTGTGAAGGACCCTTGTTCAATCCCCAGTACTGGGGGGAAGAGTTATTATTCTATAAAGAGCAACACACAGACGATTGTACTGTGGAAAACTACAAACAGTGATTTTATTGGGAACAGCAAGTGTTATAACCCAAGTGAGCATCATAAGTCAAATGACAATAAGTTTGCTACCTTTGTAGACCATCTCGTGCTGGTAAAAATAAACTTAGACACAATACATTTTTACAGTTTATTTGAGCAAACAAAAATCAGATTGGGAGGCTCCAAATCAGAATAGCTCAAAAGCGCCACCTTGGGGACACAAAGAGACAAGAGGAGACCTTTACAGTCACAGAAGTACAGTAAAGGCAATGTATGACTGGTGAGGGTTGGCGGCAGCTGCCTTATTTGGTCACTGTCATAGGAAACCCCCAATTTATATGGGACTTCAAGTTCACTGGTTGTTCCTGATTGGTTGAGCTTAACTTCTGTTTTTCTTTGCTATAATACCTGCATTTACAAGAAATAGCTCGAGTTAAGTCTTCTCTGTATTTGCAAAACAACCAAAATTGAGGTCACTTAGGAGAGTACACTGGCTCTGTCATTTAGGGAATCCCTCGGGCCTGGTCTCCCCTGTCCTTTAACACTATGATCGGAAGCAAGCCAACCTCTCAACTATCCAGATATTTTTGTTTAAAAGTTTCAGCAGAGAGTGATTATTGTACTGCTACAAAATCTATCATAGAACTCTTTCCTACACTTAAGCACAAAGAACTTGTATGTACTGGATGTCCCCAGATTAGGTTCACAGCCTTCTCAGGACTCTGCTCTTCCCCATCAACACAGGGCCATCCGTTCTTTGGGGTTTCAGCCAGAGCACTCGGGGCCCCGCAGGCACCGCGTCAGCTCCTGCCACGGCTTCTCAATGAACAGCGTCAGGGCCAGCCCCGAGACCAAGGTCAGCACACAGTGTCCAGAGAAAAGATAGAACTGTGGGGAAACAGAGCACACAGTTTTACCCCGCGACCCCTGTGTGTTCGGATCGTAGCGTGTGTCACGCTGGCTGTGTAAAATGAATCTGTGGAACAAACAGTCCCACGCATTAAACATAAAATCAAGTTGTCATCCTGGGCTGAAACCCTCCCTTTTTGTCCCCCAATGAAACAGAGAACAATAAGGCTCTTTAGAAAAAAAGCAAAACAAAACAAGCTTCTATGAAAGCCAGTCCTTTGCTTTGCGGCGAGGAAGAGAACAAATCATGGCATTATCCTAGAAGCCGGGCTGGCGCTCACTCACCATGTTGGTGTCGGTGTAGTGAATGAGCGTCTCCTGAAGTCCGTTGTACAGGATGATCAGCATTGGGTGCACCAGGTAGCAGGCGTAGCTGATGCTGGATAGGAAACGCCAGAGATCACAGGAAAGCATCTGGTTGACCAGACCTGGAAGAAGGGACAGACACTGATGCATCAAACCACAAACCCCTCTCCGGGCTGATGAAGACATGACACCCTGGAGTCTCCTCATCTCGCAGCTGCCCTTACCCATCACACTCTCCTGAAAAGGAGGGGTTTCTTTCGTACTTATTGCTGTATCTAGAACACTGCCTAGCATCTAGAACACTGCCTGTTACAAAACAAACAGAAAATAATGTTTCATATAATTAAGTGAATAAGCAAAGATGAACTCATAGACGAAGGAAGCATTTGCCCCAAGTGAGGTCCAAACAAGATGAACCAAGATATAACTGCAGAACAAACAAAATAAAGGAAAATTAAGCCAGCAAAGAGCGAGTGCTCAGGTAGGTCAAACACAGTGACGTGCCCTAAAGCCAACAATGCTGCATGCTTGTGGTGAGCTACGATCGACTCCTGCAACCCCTCCATCACATTAGGAGCAGATCTCACTGGTCATTGGATTGAGTTTTATGGTCATTTTAAAAATTTGTTTTGGCTTTAAAACTGTGTATTATAAACATAAAATCTGTATCTAGCTTTCTATTTCTACCCATTTAGGTAAAATTAGAATAAAAATAATTTAGGTCAAACTTAAGGGTTGCTGACGGTGAAAGGTTTTATCCAAAGGAGTAGCATCATCAGAAAATGACTGGCAACTCAAGAAGACAAAGTTGAGTCTGAAAAGACCTGTGTGGTCCTTGTTGCTACTAACCCAAGATGGCTGAAATAATTATTTGAATTATCCAGAGCTTTTCTAGTCCTGAAAGTCTCAATTAAAACTTTCTTCAAATGTTCCTTTTTTTTTTGAGAGATTAAAAGGAGATTTTTCTAAAAAAGTATTTAAACACTGACCTCCTCTATTCGCTTACTACTCATTTGACATCTTGTAGAAAGTACTGGAGATACAAATCAAGCATCAATTTCACCCATAACTGGGGATTGGCTAGTGACAACCCATTTTTGACATACTCCTCAAGAATAAGCAAAGGGGCGCATGTGTCACTTAGATGAAAATAGATGCCACCTTTACTCAGATTAATGACTGAGAGAATGTATTACTTCCTTTGTAATGATAACGCTAAAATTTGTTTAATTATCGCAACTAAAGATGTTCCTCTCTCATCATTTACATTAGCCAGTTGTTCGTGATAGCAGCAGGACTTCTCCACTGGACAGGAACACCATGATGAGAGCCACAGGATCATAACCTGCCTCTGGGGTGGGCAGCGGGAGGAGGATATGGTTATGGGGTCTGAAGTTTCCCATTAATATAAATACATCGTGCAGAGAAAGCACAGCCCACTTCCTGTTCAGCACCATTTCCCCTTATAAGGGAAAGCTTTTTAAATCGGAATATTAAAGAATGAATCATTCATCGTTATATTAAAATACTCAAAAATTGAAGAATGATTTAAATCAATATCTCGGGGCAATATCATGCAGAAATGAAGAGCACTGGCTTTCGACCCCACACTTGGTCCTGGTGCATTTTCTACCTGAGCCACTTATCAGCTGCCCACCCTTCAGGTGCTGCTTCGTCTCCAGGCACCTTGTTCTAACTGAGAAATAGAACTGGTTACAGGTCCATCTTCTAGAGGTGTGGTCAGCGTGACCAGGGGCCCCTCAACTAACATTTTCCCTGGGACCTGATACACGGTATGTGCTCAATCAACAGGAGCTGTTAGGATCAGCTCATTGTTTTCTACTTTATACCATGATTTCCAGCCACCTTGGCTGAGGCTGACTGGTCTTAGTGCACAGGCTTAGTCTGAGCTCATCCCGGTGATGTCCCTAGAGGGTACAGCTGCTGCGCCTGCCCCTGACTCAGCTCCATGGTCTCAGGATTTCTGCGAAATCTGGGGACAAAGCCTTTTGTGGATGCTGCCTGCCAGCCTTCGTCTGCCATTTGCTGACACTGCACGCACCCCATTCTTACCTCAAGCCTAACAGGGAAGAAGGGAGAAAAACATCAGGGATCATAATCACATAGCACCTCTAACCTGGAGGAAATCTCTCTTTCCATTTACATCTTTGGTCTGCCTGATTCCTTACACACCAAAGCTGACTGAGAGAAACTCAGTTTCCCCTTATGGAAGGGGATCTTGGAGACATTTATGTCTCCTCCCCTCAGACAAAGACCCTGAAGCCCAAAAGGGGTATGACCAGAAGTCTTCTTGTCCATGGTACTGTATTATTATGTTTTCTCACTACGCTACTCTGCTTGAGTCTTTTGTAACTTCTAAACTAGAGTCACTGGACAGACCGCAAGTTTTTCCTTCAGAACCTGCATTTGTACAGAAACCAGTATAAAAATCTATGTGGGGTGTTTACCCGAGGATATGGGCAAACTGATGCGTTTGAGTCAGAATGAATCATTCATAACCACTCCAACAAACAGAAGCTTCTCTGGGTGTGCATTTTATTTTAAATTTCTCACCCTCCAAGGGACAGGGTGAGCTCAAGTGGAGTGACCCCTCCTACCTCCATAACCTTCCTGGCAGGCAAAGATGACCCAGCCCACGGCCACTGCCCACAGGGTCCGGTGAAGGGCCTGGTAGATGGCAGCAGCCACAGAAGAGACAGCAGAGATGTCATCCACTACGTACGCCAGGGCAACAACCACAAACAAAGTCAGCAGGGAGCAAGTCCACCCCAACAGGGCCTGCACCTACAGGGAAGGGAGAAGCAGTACGCAGCCCATGTTAGCCAGTTATGTCGTTTCGCACAAACTCACTTTTTTGGTGTTATTTCTGTCACTTCAGATCTCTGTGTGTGAACCTGTCACTGCGCAAATTTGACTGACATGAAGGTACAGACTAGCAGTCACTGGGGGTGGGGAATGATCTCGGGGAAAGGAAGGTGCATGGCTATAAAGGATGGAATGAGGAGGCTGTGTGGTGAAAGAGTTCTGCTCCGTGGTCATGGTAGTTACATAAATCTCCACATGATACAACACTGTCTAGAAGTATACACATATACAACAGGTGCAAGTAAAACCAGTGGACCTACAATCTAGGGGTTTTACCCATGTCAAGTCCTGGGTGGGACTGTGTACCATGGTCATGTCACATGGTACCAGAGGAAGAACCAGGCTGAGGGGTACGTAAGACCTCTCTGTACCGTGTTGACCACTTCCTGTGAATCTATTATAATTTCAAAAGAAAATTAAAAGAAAAAAGTAAAGTACTGCTCAAGTCAACTTCCACCCCTTCCCCTTAATCAAAGAGGGCTTCTTGATTGGTTCTGGCCTCATCCTAAATGTGAGGACTGCAGGGCTATGCACTGGGCTACACCTTAACCACTGGGGCATAAAATGGTGGGAGGATTGAGAAAATGGAGAAGTTGTCCTCTCAGAAAGCAGCCCCATGATTTAAATGCTACTACTGGCTGTTTAAGGTCATGCCACCCTTCTTGACCTTGTAGACCTAAACCCATTTTTCGAGACCCTTTCTTCTCTATATTCTAGTTCTGCTGTGATGATGTTTACACTGAACTGACCTAACATTATGTCAGCCCACCACCTTGTCTCTTAGGTCTGCCTTGGGTCCCCAGTTCCTAGCCTAGTTTCTGGCTATGTGGAAGGAAAGGTGAGCCCTAAGGGGCTCTCTGCTGTCACCCTGAGACCCCCTTTATTCCTTAGCTAATTCCTTGGCTTCTACAGACCTGTAGTCTTCCAAAAGGCATCCCAGGGATATGTCTCCTTGTCCTTGCCTGCCTGCCTGTCTGCTCATAGACCAGCAGGGAGCACGCCATCTCATTCCTAGCACATGCCACATACCAACCACCTCCAGCTCAGACTTTGGGTCTTTATTTTCCAACTTCGAAAGGGCTGAGTTGAATCTATCAAACCAGCTCAGCTTGGCTATTCCTAGCTCTGTGGTCCTGGCCCTGATGCTGGCCCTGGAAGTGGCTCCCATTTCTCCCTCTCCATCTTAGTTTTTCTCCTTCACTCACACCCATTCCCTCCCCAGCCCCCATATAACCTGGACTATGTTGAAACTACTCTACTATGATCTACATCTGAACGGTGCATGTCTAGGAGATACCACAAGCCTAAACCATAAAAAAGTCACACAGCCCATCTCCATCATTTCCTGCTGGTTAAATCCTATGACTTATTCCTGCCATGAGCCACACAAGGTTCTCCCAGCACCAGGGCTTCTTCTTTGCAAAGTCTAAATGAGATACACACGAAGCCTAGGCAAGCAAAGGTGGACCAAGCAGGAGCTGTAGCCTAATAGTGCAATAGGATTCCTGGTCCTTCTTCCATTGGGAGGCAAATTATTATTCATTCATTCACTTATTGAACAGCTTCAGTGAATCCGAATCTCTCAGAGCCAGATGCTGGGTATTCGGAGATGTGTAGCAGATGGTGTGTTCAGGAAGCTCACAGTCTCTGGGTAGAAGAGGGCGTTACCATGTGGCAAGAACAGAAATGCACAGAACATGGTGGCACAACCTGGCCCGGGGGATAAGGGAAGACTTCCTACAGGAGAAAATTCTAAGTGAACCTTTGAACCTAAACAGGAACTAAGTGAGAGGAAAGCAGTAGGTATTGGGGAAAGTTGGAGAGAGGAAAAGCATGCTCCAGGCAAGCATGAGCAGACACCCAGATGCCAGGAACAGCTTGTATGTGAGAAGAGCAGAAGCTGCCCTGAGCAGGCCAGTGTCACTGCCCTGCCACACCACAGGCAGAGAGCAGCAAAAGAAGATGACACTGGAGAATCAGAGCCTCACTGTGGGGACCTTGAGGATCTCCCTGAACAGACTGAAGCTCGCTGGAAGCCACTGAAAGGTTTTGCACAGTTCGCAGTCACAGCCAAGGTGGCTTCTAATGTAGATTTGAGGTCAACAAGGCTGGAGGCAAACCAGGAAGGAATCCAGACGAGATGGGAAGAGCTTCGACAAGGTCAGTTAGAGAAGCTCAGAGAGGGTGGCAGGAGAATCGATCTGCAGGGCCTGTGACTGCCTAAGGGGGTGGAGGTCGATGGGAAGATGGCTTGAAGTGAACCCGGGCATCCAGCTTGAGTAGTGAGGTTGGATGGTGATCCAGAATGATTCCCCACAAGGGAACCAAGGACAGCACCATGTGCTCAGGGCCCACCTGGAAGGCAAAGTAACGACTTCTGCCCTTCCAGACACCTCCTGTCCTGAGTCCTGATTCCCAGATGGAACCATCAAGTAAGACAAAGAAGCCTGTCTATAGAAACCAGAGTCTGCTATTAAACATCCAGCCCAACTCACTCTCCCCTCCCAAAGAAGATCTTGCCACTGTCATCTCTCTGGGTGTGCACGCCCACATCACTGGTTGCTCTGAGTCTGTGCGAAGCCTCTGTGGAGTGGATCCCACCAGGCTCCAAGTCTGGAGCTTCATACGGGCAGCTCGGTAAAGAGAATCGGGCTCTGGGAAAAAGGTAAGTTGTTCCCATCCCTTAGCATAAAGAGACATCCACAACACACCACAGCACAATAAAGCGCCTAGCAGTCCAATTCCTTCTGTCCACGGCTCAGAGGAGCTTGTCCAGATGGACCATAACAATCCCACCCAGACCCTTTCCCTTCAAGGGAGACATGGAGAAACCATACCTTAGTTTTGAGAAAGTTCGACTGATGGTTTTGATGCATGAAAATACTCAAAAAAAGGCCCACGAGAAATGGTCCACATCGGCAGTAGGGCTTGGTGTAATATTCCAAGAAATATAACCCAGCCTCTTTTTCACTGAAAAATATAAGGAAATAGAGGCAAAGGTTATGTCTGATCTGGGCACAGGAAAGGGAATCCCTGCAGGGTCCTTTAGAGTAACTAGCAAATCCAAAGGTAGATTTGGGGCACATTTGTTCATTTCCTCCATAACAATCCACAGTCAGTGACCTTATGATCCTGCCTTGGGTCCCAGTCGGTTTGTTCAGATTCCAAGTTCCCTTGGGCTCCTCTACCCCAGATCCCAAGGAACTATGATGACTTCATCTATCATTTTAAAGAGTCATTTCTGGTGACTGATACATAAGATAGTTCCAAGAATGCGGCACCCAGAAAAGACTGTCCTGAGAGAAAAGAGAAGCCGTAAGAGGTCCAGGCTGGTCCTTACGTGGATACCACAGAGTATTCCTTGATGCTGTGACTTCCCAGGTAAGGTCCCCAGACACCACCAGCAGCATCACCTAAGAACTTACTAGGAATCCAAATCCACTCCTCCCTCAAACCTACTACATAGGAGAAACTGGTGGTGAACCCAGCCATGTATGCAGTACACACTCTCCAGGTGACCCGAAACCCCTTGTTTGAGAAGCAACATCTGCAGACTACCTGTCACAGGCAATGTCCAAGTTGCACCCAGGCCCACTGAACCAGAATCTCTGGGCACAAGACCGTGAAGGAGGACTATTAAACCTCCCCTGGCTCTCAAAGTGCAGCCTGGAATACAGCCACTGGTTTAAATGTGTCATGGCTATCCCCAAAGCTAGAAGCAACCTCAGCTCTGAAGCCCATCACTGTCCACGCAGGGATGACCAGAGGCAGGAAAGTCTCTAGAGCGTTAGTGAGTGATTCTTCAACCCGGGCCTCCCATGGAGATCCTTGGGAGCTGTCCCATACATCAGTTGCCTGGGCCCCACCCCCAGAGATGCTGATTGAGTCTGTCAGAGGGGAGGATGGAAGCATTCCGAGTTGAGAACACCCAGCTGAAAGTGCATCCAAAGTGCAGAACCAAGGGGATAGGCGGGAGGAAGCCTCCTCCCGGGTCTGGGTCACTGGACATGCTCACAAAGGTGGATGACACGGCATGAAAAGAGTCTAGTGTTCTGGCCAGAAGCTTGCAGCATACCCATTCAGTCATTCATCCATTCATCCATTCATTCATTCATTCCTGTAGCCATATATCCCAGCCTCTCACAAACACATACTGAGCACTCAAGGGCAGGCACCATTCTGGATAGTTTTACAGGGGGAGGCCAGCTGCTCTGGGAAGGTAACATCTGCAAAGACGTCTGGGAAAGTGAAAGAGAAAGCCCTGCAGAATCTCACACTAATGCAGAGCATTCTGGGCTGAGGGACACCACGTACAAAGGCCTGGAGTCGGGTGGGGAGGGGGTCAGTGTGTTGAGTGAGGCCAGGGAGATTAGTCTGGACTCAGCACGTAGGAGGACGATAGATGAGACCAGAGGGCCCCTGGAGGAACTGGAGGAGATGACCGGCATGTGTGATTTTCCTTTGTGTCACTGGACGCTTCATTGAGACTGGACAAGCTGGTAATCATATCGGCGGTTCCAGTTTAACACACAGAGGACTATAAGGGAGAATCATCACACATAGCTCATTGGGGAGGTAAAATAACATTGTGAGTAAGGTTCCAGGTTCCAACCACGCCGGCACCACCTAGTATCTGTGTCACTTGGAAGGAGTTAACCCGATGTGAATTTCAGTCTCCACCTTCCCAGCAGAGATTTGCCGCTAGAGGAGAAAACATTTCAGCCACGTGGGGGCGCTCCTTCCCCTGAGAAGAATTTCAGTGGCGAGGACTCCCCACGACCAGAGGAAAGGTCTGGAAGTCTGCAAGCAAAATGCAATCAACTTTCTCAACCCTGCCGAAAATTCCCCGCCCAGTTTTCCCACCAGGCGATGGGCGCAGTGCGAACAGGCTGGCATTCGGAAGCCCTCCCTGGGAGGTCCTGGCCCCTGAGGAAAGGGCAGACAAGGGACAGACAGGGCTGGCAGAACCAGTTACTTACTCGGCTGCAGACAGAGACGCCACCGGAAGTTTATAAGCCAACGTGAGCATCGCAGTGGCAGCGAAAGACGACAGGAACAGCATGGCCCCGAGCAGGACAAGGACATGTTTACTTCTGCAAAGAAGAGAGGACATGGGGAAGAGCACCCCTCAGTTTGCTTCACCAGCACCGTTATGAAGGTGCCCATCCGAGGAGCCCCTGAGGACAGGAGGGGCTTGGGGAGGGGTGGTGGGCGCTGGGCTGGGGTAGGAGTGCCTGAGGGGCCTTTTATCCCGACCGTTTACTCACTATGTGGCCCTGGACAGGGCCTTGCACCTGTTCCTCATCTGGACAGGAATGATGATAACATTCCTGCCATCGCACCATGCTAGGGATCGGAGCCATGCCCGGAATGTCCCTTGTCATCTGCAGTACACTCTGTGGAGGCTGATTTAGGCCGCTGATTTAGGAGAGAAATCAACTGTTCAACACAGGGTGGGACCCAAGGTGGACACGGGCATGTACTCCAAGGATGAGGAGGCAGGATGGAGTAGGAAGGGATCCTGGTGTCCCTGACAATTTGGAAGCAGAGCCTGAGACAAAGGCCTAAGTGTGGGTAGTCGTGTGGGGTTGGGAACAGGGTTAGGGACCAGGAGCAGATGAGCCAGGAAAGCTCAAACGAGAATGTGCTCTCAAAGTGACGGATGCTCCGCTCTTCCAGAATGTTCTGCAGAGCCTGTTGAACTGCACCCCAGAACTGTCCTGGGGGATGAAAGAGAGAACCTTCCCAGTATCTGCTATTCCCCCATTTGTAAGTGTGGCCCCATGCAAATTGATCTCTCCACACTTCGGGATTCTCCATTGTGAGACCCAGAGCGTCCCCAAAAGGATGCCAGTTGTGGTATTGAAAGGTTCTGGGTAAAAAAAAGGAGAGATTTGAGGACACTGGCTCAGAGCGAGACACTATCTGGTGGTACCGGTTCGGAACTGTAAGGATTGGATCTAAGTAGGTCACCAGTAATGTACAAGTGTCAAACACGGGTTTCTTGAAATTTAAAAAGTAATTTGTCATTATGATTCAAAAACCCCCAAAATATTCATATCCTATGACCCAGTAATTCATCTCAAGGATGTGCATTCTAAAGAAATATTAGAGTTGGAGACAAATGTTTATCATGAAAATATTCATCAGGCCATTACTTATGGAAGTATAAAATTGGAAATAATCCAAATATTTAACAGTGGGAGGAAGTATGAGTAAATTACTATACAGTTCACTTAGGAAATGGAATGTTATACAAACATTAGTATTAGGTTTACTTAAAGTAAAATAATGTAGGGAAATGCATATGTCATAATACTATCCAGCAAAAGATAGTAAAGTGTATATGCAGAGTGCTTTCATGTATAAAAAGCTAGGCAGAAAAAGATATTAGAAGAATAAGCACCAAAATATTAATAATAACTCCATCTTGCCTTGAGGGACAAAGGACTGGCAAGAGTATTTTCCATTCTCTTAATCCTAATATTTTCCAGTGTTTCCTACACTTAGCAAAATTAGTGTTGAATTACTGCTATTCTAAGAAAAAGAATTAAAATCTCTTAAAATGTGGCATGAAGCCAGGTATGGCGACACATACCTGTAATTCTAGCACTTGGGAGGCCATAGCAGGAGGATCCTCGAGTTCAAGGCCAATTAGGGGTAATAGTGAGTTCAAGGCCAGCCTGAACTACATAGAGAGACCCTGTCTCCAAAAACAAAACAAATTATATATATATAATTACTCATGCCATATATGCATGGCATGAGTAATCTACAAGCTATCAACCTCCCCATGAATTATTGAGGCCATAAAGTGTTTCTAAAACTAACAAAAATCAAGGTGAGAAATATCCAGTGTGGGGAAGCAGGTCCACCACCACATTGCTGAGGGCACTGTAAATTACTTCTTTCTGGAAAGCAATCTCACACTGTGCAACAAGAACCACAAAATTGTTCCTACCCTTTGACCTGGTAATTCCACTTGGAAATATGCCCCAAGGAAATAACGAGGAGAAAAAGTAGTGTGTTCAAGACATTCATTGCAGTGCCATTTATAATCGTGAAGAACTGGGCACAATCTAGATGCCCAACCATAAAAAGGGCATATAAATCCTATCACTGGCGGGTGTGCAGGTTATGTCAATAGTGGAAATGTTTATAAGAACAGTTGGAATGGAGAAAGCTGAGCCCTAGGTACTACATGCACACTGATTATACCTGCAAAACTGCACTGACTTGCGTACAACAAAGATTGGAAGAGAAAGTGGGAGAAGGTACATGGCAGAGGATGCAGTATCTCCTTCTCTGAAGTTAATTTCCTTAATTTAATACAAAGCTGCTCTGCACAGAACTGGAGCCCTTTATAAGCATTTCAGAAAGAGGCCACCTGGAGCAGAGCGCCTGTCCGGGACAGACTCACTTTCCGTGGATGAAGAGGATCACCGGTGTCATGAAGTGGAACTGGAAGTCGGTGGCCAGGTACCAAGTCCAGCCGCTGCACTGCAAAGAGAGAAGCAGGGTGACTCGCCTGCCTTTGGGTACCGGGCATGCGCCACACCGTCACCAGGAGAAAGCCCTCAGTGGCAGGCACTGGGGGCTTCCGCGGGCAGAGAAGGAAATTTGAGTTACAGCAGTTTCGCGTTCCTCTTTCTATCCATCCTTGAACAAGCCTGGATAGGAGGTATCATTATTGCTATTTTATAAAATGGAGATTCAGACAAGTTCTCTCTTTTGTTTGTAAAAACCAATAAGAGCTGGTTTTCTGGGACCACTGTGGGAACCGAACTCCTTCATGTGACAGGAATGTATGAGGTTATCCTTATGGTACGGCTGGCACTCAGAGGGCTCGGCCTTGTTCTCCTCCATGCCTGGCCCTCACCCCCATGCTAGGAGGCGAGAATGTGTTCATTTGACAGCAAGGCCTGGCTCCCCATGCACTTCTGTGGGAACTGCAGAATTCCCATGCCAGATTGACTTGGGGTTGTCTGGCCAAAGCCACATGGTCCCACAGACTGACCATACTTGTGCAAAAGAAGGCTGTTGCCCATATTTCGTCTTCCACGTGAAGAAATTCCTGTGGGAAATTCTGTTTCTTGGGCTCCAGCATCCCAGGGAGCCCAGACTTCTGCAACAGAAGGGGAAACTGCATCCACAGGCAAAGGCGAGAGATCTAAGGCAGAATGTGTCTCTAAGAGGAGATCAGCCCCTGTCCATGCAACTGATTCCTACAAACAGTCCAAGCCCGTCCGCACCTGAGAACGCACTCCGTCTACCCGAAACCCCGCGCAGGCCCTCACCTGCAGGCAGTTGGCAGTGATGCACTTCCGGTCAGAGCTATTGGGCATTGACCGTCTTGGTATGAAGTGGTATGTGCCGTCGAAAGGACCTGCCGCACTAGAAATTTTCTTTTCAGCCCCACTTTCAAAACATATGAGGGATTTAGTGAAATGACTTCATTATAGCCATTTCAATTCCTTTCACACTGAGTTCATCATGAGAACATTGAGGCTTTGGGGAAACGAGGTATCCAGGCTTTGTGTCTGTGAACCTACCCTGTCAGGTCTGGCCTGAAACTGAGGAACATTCACTATGTTGAGAGCACGATGCGCTGTCCAATCCCAGGAGATCCTCTGTGCGCAGGAAGGGAAGTGACCTTCCCGCGGGGTGACAGGGACTGGCTCAGGAGCCACAGTGGGGAGTGGGGAGCAGCTGCCTTGGGACACGCCTCTAGACCGTCACCCCTCACTAGCCCTGCTGTGCCCCACTGTCTCTCTTACAGCAGCTGCCCCTGGCATAAATGGGCATGGTTGCTTCTATCCCACCCCCGGAGATAGGCCTCAGGTTGGCCCTTGGAAAGATCACCAAGCCATGTGACCCGGAGACCCCCTCTGCACCCCTCTGCTCTCACAGCTGGAGACTCACCGCATTGCGAACCAGCATGAAGTTGTTCAGCAGCAGCAGGTTCGTCCACCACGCCTGCCGGCAATTGTCCCAGTGGACTTTGGGCACTTCCCAGACAGGTCCCCAGGGAACGAGAGAGAACAAGCCAACCAACAAGCACACTGAATACAGATGAAGAGGCTGCAGCCTGTTAGGAGACACCCGGGAGAAAAAAGGTGACTGTCCACAAGGGTTCTATTCGGTCCCCTCTGTGGGCACACGGTAGGCTGCATGGGTGGCAGCCACCTCCCTACCAGGCCTCAAACACCCCTGCTTTCAAGGGTCCAGAATGACTTGCTGACCACCAGTCATGTGCTGCTGTGGGTCTGCTGATGCGAAAGTACTGTGATGTACTGAGCAAGTCATCTAGTCAGCCACTGTGGTGGGAGCTTTGTAAATATTCTGTCAGGCAGCTCCTGCCTCCACTTTACCTCCATGACTCTGAGATTAGAATGCAGAAAGTTAGGGTGAGTCACCCAGTGCAGTGGTTGATTGATTGTATCAATCTGAGAAGTTCAGAAGCTTGACTAAACTTGGCTCAGCAGTTGGCTCAGCAATTCTACATCCTAGGGTGTAGAGGAGCCACCCTAGGGTGGATCATCCCCTAGATGATATAAAATGGAAATGAGGAAGGACAAAGGGGTTCCATTCTTCAGAGGAGCTCCAGTCTTCACCTTCAGCTTGGACATCATCTCCTGGCTTCTAGTGCAGACTCTTCGGCTTCCTCCTCGGATCCTTCAGCCTTCTGGTGTAGACTCATCAGCCTTCTGTCGCAGACCCATCCTCCTCCTGATAGGGACTTGCACGGAGTGCTGCAGTGAACTCCAGACCCTGGACCGAATCCTTTGGTCTCCAGTTGCAGACACCCTCTGCACGCTTCCTCATCCAGCTCTTTGGCTGACCGTCATAAGCCAATCTTGTGATTTCTTATACATTTGTATATCTTGTTTTGTACCTGTTTCTCTAGTAAGACTCTGACTGATACACCTGGGTCACCAACCATCGAGCAGCACAGAGAGTCAAAAAACACTGATACAATTCATCTTAATGTCATTTACTTAGACTAATATATCTAAAATAGTATTTCAAACATGTAACCAGTATAAATTATAATAAGCTATTTTACGTTTCCTTTCAATAAAGCTTCAGTGGCATGGGCAGATTCCACTGGCCACTGTTGTCTGATGGCAGCATATCGAACTGTTAGTGTCTGGAGTTTGGAAGTGAGGGTGTGGCAGGGAGATGTATACAGTTCTGGCATAGATAATGGGCAGTCTGGAGTCAGATCCCTCTTTTAAAATAATACACTTTAAACCGGGCATGGTAGCACACGGCTATAATCCCAGCACTTGGGGGTCTGAGGCAGGAGGATTGTTGTGTGTTTGAGACCAGCCTGGGTTACAAAGTGAGCTCAAGACCAGCCTGAACTGCATAGTGAGAACTTGTCTCAATAAAAAGACCAAACAAAGCGTATGTAAAAATTCATTGAAACCCAATATTTTATAAAATTAATATGCACTGATAAAATATATTTAAAAATTTATTTTGGGCTGGGAGTGTAGCTCAGTGGCAGAATGACTGCTTAGCAAGCACAGTGCCCTGGGTTTGGTCTCCCGCACCACAAAATAAATACTAATAATACATTGAGAAACTCAAGGTAGTTTTCACTCGGTGAGAAAAGAGGAAATGGCCCCCAGCTCTGCTGAACATCTGAGTGAGGTTGTCAGGGCCAGGTGTGGTGTGACAGTGGGGAACTGACAGGACTTAGAATGTCTCCACTTAAAGGTGTCCCCCGCCCTCAGCCAGGTGGTGGAACAGCACCAAAGCTCTGCTCTGCACCTGTGGACCAGACCGGTGGGCCCGCCCCATCCTCTCTGCAGTGACATCACCCAACATAGGGTATGTTGCTGGGCATTCGAGGAGCTGGAATGGAGCTGCTGCTCAACGTCAGAGAGAAACAGTAGGTGAATGTGATAGTTAACTATGCTGTCAACTTGCATAAGAAGTGCCCAGCTGACTGGTTTAGCACAGTCTGGGCGTGTGTGGATGATGGGCTTCCTGAAGACGGAAGACCCACCCTGGGAGTGGGTGGCAACAACCAATAGGGTTGTAGTCTGGATGGAATAAAAAGGGAAAGAAGAAGGCAAGCCTCACTTCTGCTTTGTCAGGGGAGCTCTAGCTTTTGCCATTGCCTTGGGACATCTATCTCCAGGCCTGTAGCTCAGACTCTTTGGCTTCCTGGTAACAAACTCACACAGGACTCTGCAATAAGCTCCAGGCCTTCCACTTTCGACTGGACCCTTCAGATCCCCAGCAAGCAGACAGCCCTTTTGCACTGTTCCACACCTGACTCTGCAGGCAGCCATTATAAGCCTACCTCATAAATGCTATGTAGTGACTTGGTCATGACGCACCTTTCCAAGCCAAGCATGGTGGGGCACACCTGTAATCCTAGCACTCAGGATGCTGAGGCAGAAGGATCTCTGCAAGTTTGAGGCCAGCGTGGGCTACTAAGTGAGTTCAAGGCCAGCCTGAACTGCATAGTGAAACCCTGTCTCAAAAAGATATTTTAAAAATGCACCACTCCAGATCAGCTCATATGTCTGTTCGCTTAGGTGACAGGTGCCTCCCTGGGCCTGGGTCTCCCAGGCTCCCCCTCTGACCTCATGGCCACTCCTGCAGGCCTCCAGCGTTGGACCCCCATCTGTTACTTCCTTCCCCCCAGGAGGAAGTCAGCCCTGCTCCTCTCTAAAGCTGCGCTTAGTATAGACACCATCAGGAGGTAGCAACCTCCTGTCCCACAACTGTGTTCCCAACTTTTGTGCACCCCGTCAGGGTGCACATTAAAATGAAAGCTCTGTACCCGTGGGCTCCAGAGGGGTTAAAGCTGCTGGGAGGTGCACTCCTTGAGGGGCAAGGCTACAGGAAAAAAAACAGGAAGCGAGTTCTAGTTCTGCCTAAATTTTTCACACAGCCTAAAAACATATAACTTCTCCTTTTCCCTCTTCCATAAAAAGTGGGTCGCGGTATCACTGCACTTGTCTAGAATGCACAAGGCCCAGGGTTTGACTGCTGGCACTGCCAAAAAATTGGGAGGGGGTGGTCCTCTCTCCTAAGATTTTTTTGAGAATCCAATGAGATATAAGACAACCTATAGCACCATAGAAATGGATGTGCACTGTATTTTTATCCAAGTTTCCAGGAGAACTAAAATCAAAGAAGGTATTTAAAGCACCATCCTGGAACTAGGAGTATAGGAATGTAAGTAGCTCAGTGATAGATCTCATGTCTAAAATGTGTGAGGTCCTGGGTTTGATCCCAACCCTGGGAAACACACATACACATACACACACATACACACCAAAGGGGGGGCGGGTGGGACAGGATCTTAGCCAGAGTCATGCAGATGTGAGAAGCAGGTATCCTCAGACTTCGTGGGTGGAACCGTGAATTGGAAAACACTGATCAAAATGTTAGGTGCACCAAACCATTTCCACCTGTAGGAATTTACCGGACTAACACACCCATCCAAGTGTACAAACATGCATATGCACTGTCTTCTTGTCCAAGATAGCAAAACCCTTGGAAACTTCTGTCCACGCCCACTGTGGGGACAGGTTAAATACATAATGGCTCACGCCCATACAGTGCCATACAAGCCACCTGTAACACCAGTCCTAGCAAGCGGTCCTTGTGGATGGACAGAGAATATGCCACACTTTGTCACTAAGTGAAAAAAGCACATGCAAAATATTGTACTACATAACGCAATCCTATTCGTAGGGCAAGAGACAGTGCTTATAATGACATGTACAGTTTCTGCAAGAATTCACAGGAAACTGTTGACAAAAGTGTCCTATGAGAGGTGAGATTGGAAAAGACACTTTATTTTAGTTTCTCCTTTCTCCTACAGTCACACATCTTTCTCACAAGCTCTAAGAAAGACGAACTTTAATGTGGCTCCTGGTGAGAGTAATCCTGCAGTTTTATGGCTCCAGAACATGACTGTCTGTCTCCCATTAGCTCACCTCTATCAGAGTCAGTCCTAGAAGCAGGGCTTTTTAATTTTCTTATAACTTGCAGTAGCTCCCGCCTTCTACTTCTGCTCCCTCACAACCTGCCTACTGCCCTGTGGCCAGAGTGATCTTCAAAGATCTTCAAAGGCTTCTACCTCAGAACAGCACAGGACTTCTGCCAGCAGCCCCGAGGCCCACACCCCCTGCCCTCACCCCCGTCTGCCTACGAGCCCCGCCCTCCACACTGCTCCCCGCGCTGCAGATAACACCTTCATGCTCTTCGAGGGTCTCCCAGCCCCCAACCGGTCTGTCCTCAAGACTTCACTCCCCGGCCCAGACTGCTCTTTCTTCACAGCATTTTCTTTTCTTCGAAGATTCTCTTCTTTCAGCGGGAGGAACACTGAGTCCTACTGGCACAAATGAGAACATCCGAGGGGCCAGGCTGCGGCTGCTGGGTCCCCACACCGCACAGAGGCGATGAGCTGGGGTGGTGTGTGCACTGCAGTTGCTCCCTGCCAGGGTTCAACAGAGCTTTGGCCCCGGTCAGACTGATTCCCTCCCTCGCTCCCATTCCGATGCTTTCCAAGTTCTCTGTCTGCACAGGGCCACCATCTTCCACCACATCGCTCCGGCTAGGAGTTCCACGTCTTTGATGCCCCCATCGCCGTTCCCACTGCCAAACACCAGCCTAACCCTGCTCTCCTGCCTGGATATTGTGATTGCTTCCCCAGAGGGTGATGCGCCTCATCTTGCCCCACAGCCTTCCCACGAGCCCGCTCCACCGGGCCCACTCCTGCCCCCACCACTGCTTCTCTGTGCCCACTTCTGACTGCCTCAGCCACCCCTAGATAACCCCCAGCACCCATCCCTCTCCTCCTGAGAACCTCAGTGCAGAATAGCTGCTTACCCCCGGCACCATAAGCAAGTGACACGGGGAAAATGGCCTTCCCGGGAGAAGGACTAGGGTTGCTAGAGCTTAGAAGAAAAGATCATGGTGAAAAGAAGTCAGTAAAGGTCTATTTCTTAGTTCACCCTCATCCTCATCCTACCTGAAGGCAAAAGTAAAAGGTAAATAACAGCAACAGTAAAGCAAAAGCTTATACTTATGAAGGACTTAATATCCATTAGATACTTTCTAAATACCTCACCTACGCTGTCACATTCAGTCCTCACGAGTTCTATGAAGGAAATGCCATTATTTCCCCCACTTTAGAGATGAGAAAATTCAAGCATGGGAACTGTGAGACGCTGAAAGTCACACAGCTGGTACGAAACTGATCCAGAATATGTGCTCAGTGGAACTCTGGGGCCTGCTCTTGCCCTCTCCATTTTACAAGCCCTGACAATTGTTTCAGCTGTTTTGAGATAGTGCAGTGTACCAAGACGGGCTTGGAACAGGAGTAAGGAGAGCTGCGGTCCAGCCCAGCAGTAATCATGACTGAGAAAATGTGTGTATGAAGGAGTTGAAGTTTCCTTTTCTCCTTTAACTACAACTGCGTCATTGCATCACTGCCATTCTGCCATCACAGATTCTGTAGTCTGTGCCTATCCCAAAATCCCTTCTGCTTTAATCAACCACACATTCCGAAGGGACAGCAGCATTTCTGCCTCTCTCTCGGCACAATGACTGTTGTCCCAAGATTTGCCCAAGTCCCTTCCTGGTCACATTTTATCATTTCCATTCATACTCTGATTTATAGGGTCTGATGTCTGCTAACTTGCAGCCAGACTAAATTTCCTATAGAGTGCACAGATTCTGTGGAAGCTGCCAGTACATGTATTTAAATCTGTTTCTTATCAACTGAAAGATAGTTTTTGCCAGTGGAATGTACCAACTTTCATGGCATTTGTTGTACTCGAATTTGAACCATAATAAAACAGCAAAAACCAAATTTGTTTTTTTTTTTTTTTTTTTTTTTTGAGACAGGGTCTCACTCTGCAGCTCAGGCTGGTCTTGAACTCACTTTTGTAGCCCAGGCTGGCCTTGAACTCACAACGATTCCCCTGCTTCAGCCTCCCAAATGCTGGGATTACAGGTGTATGCCACCACCCCCGGCCAAAAACCAAATGCTTTTAAGGAAATAAACTATCTTTCTGTTTATTTGTCTTAAGAAATTCTTTCAAACGTGGGTTAAACACTGAAAAATAAATTATTGCACAGCAACAATGAATTAAGAAATTATATAAATAAACCTACCTTACAAGACGATTGAAAAAGTATCTGCATATGACCTTAAGGGTTATTCCTTTGTCTGAATTCTGATGCATCTTTAGAAATGACCTTGCACTTAACCAACCACTAAGAGAGAAAAAAGAATTACTTAGCAATTAGACAGTTCACTAGTTAATTGAGTAGGTCCAGGTTAGACTAAGTGATGCTACAGAAATAAAACACCTCTGAGTCTTATAACCACAATCTCTCCCTCCCTCCTTCCCACTCCTCCCCCACCTCTCTCTTTCTCTCCTCTTACTCATGTAACATACTCATGGCCAGTTGCTTGGCATCTTCCTCACTATGGGACCTGGGTTGATGGAACGACCTTATCCGAAAGGTCATCAGTGACCACAGCAAAGGACAAGAGCATTCTGAAGAGTCTCAACACAACAATCAAGTACTGCAGCCTGACAGTGACATCCTTAAAGCTCTTAGCATAAGGGTTTAAAGCACTTTGCATAATGGCAATCTGAGGTACCCCTTGCTGGTCAGAACCAGTAACTGGTCCAGGAAAGTGAAATTTTGTTGAGTGCCTGGAGGGTGGTAAACCAGATATCTCTGGTGAACAATGTGGGAAAGTAAGACTCGGAGATTATTAAATGGGTTTCCCAGGATTACAGTTAGAATTCTTAACCAAAGCACTTCAGTGACACATCCATGACCCAGAATGCACAGCTGAAGGAACCAAAGTCACAGCCTTAGCGCTGTAACTTGAGCAAAAGCCTGTTTGTGAGTTTCCCAACTTTTCGACATTCATCCCAGTGAGCTTTGCGGGTGTTTCCCTGAGTGAATGTTTTCTACCACAACACAAGGCTATCTGTGTGTGTTGGGCCTGACTTGGACAGGATCCCGGAGGCCTGGAGAATGTCTCTGTTTCTGCCAGTTAGATTTTCCTTTGAAAAGCAACAAGTCAGAGTCATTGAAATAGGAACGAAATTTATAGAGATCTAAAAGAGACTGCTGAGAGCAGCCAGTTCTGCTTCTGGCCTCCCTTTATTTCAGGAAAGGATGGATCAAGGCCATCCTTTCTTTTCTGCATGACTGGTACCCCCTCTCCTTACCAGCCTGGTTGCTAAGCAGAACCTGGATCCCACTCCATGTGCGAGCATCCACCACCCAGCTTTCCAGCCCATTAGAAGAAGGCCTGAGAAGACTGTAGTAAAACAGACCATGAGCAAGAGAACTAGTTACAAGGGGCTACAGCCCTGTGTCCTGAAGAGACAACCACACAGTGGAGAGGTGTGAAATGAGCCCAAGAGGGAGGAAAGGATTCCAAAATAGTTACCACTAGGTATTCTTAAAGATTGTCAGAAGTCTTTGATTTTACCAGGCATGGTGGAACATGCCCGTAATCCCAGCTACTCAGGAGGCTGAGGCAGGAAGATTACATGTTCAAGGCTAGCCTGGACAATTTAGCAAGACTCTGTCTGAAAATAAATAAAAAGAGCTGGAGATGTACCTCAATAGTAGAGCATTTGCCTATCATCCATGAGGCCTAGGTTCAATCCTCAGTACTGCACAAAAACAAGTTTTTGATCCCACTGTGTAATATCAGTGATATCCTGATTAAGACATGATTTCCTTGTGAAACAGGTTGAATATCCTTACTCTAAAAGGCTGGTTTTCAGATGCTGGACTACATATACATCCATAGTGAGATACCTGGTTGGTGGGACTAATTTTAAACACAAAATTCATTATATTTTATATTATCTCATCCACATGGGCTAAGGGTAATTTTATACAGTATTTTTGATGTGCCTGCATTTTGTCTGTGACCTATCACATGAGACTGGGAGTGGAGTTTTCCCTTTGTGATGTCACGTTGGTGCTCAAAAGTTTTCAGATTTGGAGTATTTTGGATTTTAGATGAGGGATGCCCAACCTGTCTTCCTAAGTTCTGGTTGTAACCTCACTAGCTGTGTATGTAGACTTGGACAAGTTATTTCATCTCTGAACATTGAGTTTCATGTCTGCAAAAGTGGGATGAAATTGTCCCCTTGTTCAAAAGAAAATTTAAAATGTTTATTGAAAGGAACAGTTAATGCTTAAAATTTTTTTGACCAATTTTGCATGCTTATATCTGGTAATCTGAACAATTAATTTGAGGACAACAATATGCAATATAACAACCATTGGTGAATTCCTACCATCTTGTCTAGTGAAGCTCCATATCATTCCTAATTTTTTTAATATTACTTTTTATTCTCTTTAATTGTTTGATCAATCTTACATTCTTACATCTGGTAATCTGAGCAACTTTATTGAAGACAACAATATGTAATATAACAACCATTGTTAATTCCTATCATTCTGTCTTGAAACACTGTACCATTTTTATTGTTTTTGCTTTGTTTTGTTTTTGTCTACATTGGTTTTTTGTTATTATTTTTTATTATTCTCTTTGAAATTAAAAAGAAGAATATGAATACCTTCTAAAGTAATAAAATAAAAACTATAGGAAAAAGAGTCACAGAGAGTGGATGAGAAATGGAAACCAACAGGGATAAAGAAGAAAGCCGTGTCTTTCTCTGCCTCTAGACGGGCATCAGCATCTGCCTGGCTACCCCATCCGTACTGTCCTCAGTTCTTCCCACCTGGGCCCACATGGTGCTTCTTGCATCTTAATGGGCATCAGGATCATCGGGGGCTTGGGACAGCCCAGATGCTGGTCCTGCCCCCAGAGAGCCTGCCGCAGTCGGGAAGGGGGCACCTGGGAATTTGCATTGCTAACAAGTCCCCAGGCAGTACAGATCTGAACGCCTCTGATGAAAGGCACAGCACTGCCTGGCCCACACCAGCCCAGGTGTGAGGGATTTTCCTCCACGCATTTGCAGTATTCTGGATGTTTGGTATTCAGCAACCTTCACCTGTGTTTTACATATCTCGGGGCTGTCCAGCGGCTCCTCTGCCATCTCAGACTCCCACGATAAACCAGTGGCTTTTCTTTCCCTTCCTTTTTCCCTGTTCCTGGCAGCCTTTCTAGTCTCCAGACTGAGTTCCGGGTTTGGTTCCAGTCATCTTGATTTGTCCTTGCCAGCCTCCTTCCCAGGACTTGGAACTCTGCCAGGCAGACTCAACTCAGCATATGACATCTTTTTTTTTTAAACCTGGCTTGACCAGAGCCCTTTGCAGGGAACAGAGTTCTGGTCTTTGCTGTCTTGTGGGCAGAGCTCCCCGCCCTGCAGGGACCCTGTAGCTGCTCTAATACCAGCCCGGAGAGACTCAGCTGTGTCCTCCTGGAAACCTGGCCCCAGTGAGCATCACTGCCAGGTTCAGTGACCCTTGCCTGTCTGGACCGCTCTCTGTTGTCACCTTGGCCACCTCCCGGTAGGAGCTGCTGCCCTGTGGGCAGGGTCCGGCTCATTCTGCACTCCCCTTGCTCTGTACTATAAAAAACGATCACACCAGGATCCTGAAATAAAACAGTGAAGAAATTGACAACAATGTGTTGAGCAGTGGTCTATGGACTACTCCGTGGAGCACTGCTATAGGCCCTGGTGACATCAGTACACAAAACAAAAGCATTCCTTGCATTCCAGTGGAGAGAGGAGGACAATCAATCAAACAAACATGGCATCTACAGTATGGTAGGTGAAGAGAAAAATAAATAAATCAAGAAAAAACTGAGGTAGAGAATGCTGCGTGGGTTCATTTTACAGTGGTGGGGCCGGCATGCCTGGCTGTGAAGGTAACATTTGAGGAAAAAACCTGAAGGAGAAGAGCGGGTGAAGAGCCAGCATACTAGGGAAGGAGGAGTTGCAGCTAGCTCTGTCCTAGCCCGCTGGCTCTCACACTTTGGAAGTTCGTGGAATTGTACCCACTTCTCCACATACTCAACTCCCAGAACTCACACAACAGAAGAGAACACGGCTTAGCCCCATTACCTGATCAGGAAAAATGTATCAACCCCGAGATAGAATGGGCCGCTCCGAGAATAAAGGTATAGTGGGTTTTTAGGTACCCTGGTTTTCCATTCAAGCACATTATCTGCAACAAACATACAAAACAATATTTTTAATTTGGTTAATGGAAGAAAATCATGTGATCTTTCTTTGTAGAAGAGAGGGCTTTGCCCCAGGAGGGCTTTAGGAATCGCTGTCATTCATTTCATAGAGAATTTAGGTTGGGAATGAATGTGGTAACAGAGGCCCCTAACTGCCACCCAGGCCTCAAGCTCCTTTTTGTCTCATGGCAGATGCAGCCCCCTTGGACGGGCGCATGTCATTTGGAAGGTGGCTTCACGCTGCCCTCGACCGGCCCCTCCCCTTCTTCTGCTCACTCGCCCTCCCCTGTTGAAAGAGCGCCGCGGTCGTGGATGCGGAGGGTCAAGAGTGTGGCAACAGCAGGTGGTAGAGAAATGCTGATTTATTACTAATGTACCGTGATACTTGCCTGTTTTGCAGATAGGGAAAAAACATTACTTCCTGGCTTCACTAACCAGGACAGGAGGGAACCCAGGGCTCTGGCTAGTGAGCATGCAATACCCAGGAATCGCTCTGTGCCAGCTTTATTTCTAGGAGGAGCCACTGGATGCTGGCCTGGATTCTAAAACAGAAGGAAACTGCCAGCCTCCTGTCCCATGGCGCAACATAATCTCCACACTGAGGGATCTCTCCTCCCCAATGGCGCCTAGAATGAAGGGACACCCGTTCCCGCACCCAAAGACAGCCACGCCGTCATCTGGCTGGTGTGTCCTGAGATGATCCAGAGGAGGCTCAAGACCCGGATGCCATTTAGTGCAGGGCAGGTGCCTCTTGGCATCTTGGCGGTCCAGATGGCCGACACATTCTTCTGCCAAGAGAAACACTGCAGAGCACGGTCCGTGGATCCTAGAAAACCTGGGCAAGAGAAGAGGCATTACTCTCCACTCCGAAAGCCAGCAAGCCACACACCACCCCACAAGGAGAGTGGAAACACATAGAGAACCTGGCACTCACCTGAAGCTCCCACTCCAACTCTGATTGCTTGACTCAGCCCTCCACAGTCCCCACTTGACCAGCCTGGGAGCTCTTGCACTTGATCTCCCTCCACTCTGAACTTGACTTTCCCTAACAAACCTGACCTGAGCTTGGTGCCCCATAATGCCTTGCACAGAATATGCTGCCCTAGATCAGGTCCCCCAGACGCCAACCTGGCCCACTACCTAGGCCTGCTTTCCAAAAGGCTGCAGAAAGGAGAATAATGACTTCAGTTAGAAACCACCTGTTATGGCTTGTGTCCAGATGTCCTCCCAAAACCTCATGCATTCATAGGTTGGGTTTTTTCAAAGGTGGCTGGATCTAGAGTATGTGATGCTGGGATTAAGGGTGTGTGATTACTATATCAGTCCACTGATTGGTTTGGCACCGTCTTAATCCCCAGTGGCCTGGAGAGAATATAAAAGGGGCAGAAAGAAGCTGCAGAGGCACTTGCTTACTCCTGCCCACCCGCTTGTAGTGGGCTGTTTCTCCTCTGCAATGCCACCCTGCCTTGGAGTCAGCTGACAATGAACTGAAACCTCTATAAACTGTGAACCAAATAAACCTTTCCTCCTTTAACTTTGGGTGTCAGATATTTTGTCTTAGCAATGAGAAAGGTAAATAAGATACCACCTGAGCTGGAGAGACAGCATTTCACTTGAAATGGTGTCCCGGGTTCTCCTAAGAATGAACCATTTACAAATAATATCTCCAACACTGGTCAGGGCACAGGCACAAAAACAAGAGGGAAAACCAAGCCTGGTAAGCACTCAGGAGGCTGAAGCAGGAAGATCACCATGAGTCCTAGGCCAGCCTGCCCTACATAGTTAGTTCAAGGCCAGCCTGGACTACATAACAAGACCCTGTCTTAAAAAACAAAGAAACGAAAAAACAGAACAGGAGGGAGTTGGCTTGATAACTAAGGTACAGGCTTTAGGGTTACTCCTTGCTCTGAATCTGCCTATCTTTTATTAGCTCTGTGACCTCTGGCAAGTGAATTAACTTCTCTGTTCCTAGATGTCTACATACAGCCAAAAAATAGGAATAAAATTCTTATAATCCCAAGACTCATGAAGAGCAGATGAAGCAAGGCATATACATCATTCTGAAAAGAGCCCAACCCAAGGGCCAGGGATATAGCTCAGTGGCTCAGGTGCCTGCCTGGTAAGTGCAAAGTCCTGAGTTTGATTCCCGGTACTAAAAAAAAAAAAAAAAATGAAAAGACCCAACCCAGAGTTAGCACTCATAGGATCTCAGATGCTATATCAGCACTATTTTAAGCCTTATTATTTAAAAATGTTTAATCCCTTCTCCTTAATTTATCTCCTGTGTTTTTATTTAAATTTAACTTGACCTGTCCTGGCAACCAACAGGGTGGCTGCAGTTTTGGAATAAAAGCCTCCAAAGCTCAAGGGGGCCCTGAGAGGCTTGTATTTTCTCCTGGACAGAACTCAAGAGCTCAGCGCCTTAAATATTGTAGACATCCATGTGTCTTTACACAATTAAAACTTACATACAAAAGCCGACCTAAAACCAAGTTCTGGAAATCCAAATCGATTTCTTAAATGGAAGGATTGAATCACCTAGTGTTTTAGGTTCCAGCAGTGACTCTGAGCTTTCCATGTAGGTCAGTCCCTGTGACGGTGCCTCTGCCTAGAGGCGTAGCACTTGCTCTTTCAATTAAAAAAAAGCACCAGGACTTTTCCCTCGGAAAAATTCCCAGGACTCGACAATGAACACCACACAGGCGGCAGCCCCGCACTTGGTTTCACCTGGCTCCTCCCATTTCCTGAGGAGCTCCCTGCTCTCATGGGAACACAGAAGACCACGCCTCTGCCAGATTCAGCCAAGCTCATTAACCTCCCTGAGCCTCACTTCCATCACTTTTAGAATGGGCGTAATTTTTGGCAAGGTTATTATGAAGACTCTAGGATGATGTTAAATGTCCAGCTCAAGCCCTGCGTTGGCAAGCAAATGCTTAACATATTTTATTATTACTTAAATTCTACCTGTGGATGAATGTAACCAACAGCAGTTTATAAATTGTCTGAAAGTAGCTGATCTATAGAAAAGATGTCTTTCTGGGTCCCATCTGGCTCATTTGTAAATGGAAAGTATTATACACTATACAGGAGGACTGTAAGAAGGGCTGGCTGAAATAGTGCATGTGAAGGTGGAAGCCCCCAGCCCAGCAGCTTTAGTATCTCAGGAAACTTATTAGAAATGCTCGTTCCACGCTGCAGCACATTCACTAGGTCAGAATCTTTGGGGCTGGGGCCCAGAGATCTGCGCTGTACCGTGCCGCCTGCCAGGGATTCTGATACAGGCCAAAGCTTAAGGCTTGATGGGTGTGATGGAGCTTTAAAAAACCAGTAGCCCCTTTGGATTCTCTTGTTATCACATGGTGAGCCTACTTTAAGCAATGGCCCGTGAAGTAAAAAATCCTCGCTTCCAGCTGCTGAAATCCATAGCTATTAACTTCATGAAAACATCCTTATAGCTTGCTCATTCACTCATGTCTGGCTCATCTAAACAGCAAAAGAAAGGCGCATGTAACAGGAAACCACTCGAAGTAAATGTCATGGTTATTTGCAGGATAAAGAACCAAGAATCCCAACTTCCCAATTCGGCTCTAAACTTCCAGAAGACACGGTGGTCTTAGGTTGATTTGACTTGCTGCCGACTGTAAAAGTGAAGAGGAAAATTGCTGAACCTCGGCAAGTGAGTTTTTAAAAACTTGCTTTGGAAACAGAACACAGAGGACCCCCCACCCCAATTCTGAGGCCACAGTTAGATGTCACTACTGGAAAAGCAAGTGTAACCTCAGTGATCTGACCATAGGAATTTCTGCTTGAGTGAGGAACCCTCGTTTCTGCAGCAGACTCCTGACACCGTGCCAGGTGTGTGCTCCAAACCCTGCAATCTGGCCTTAAGCCAGTTTAGCACCTAAGAAAGCAGTGGGAATTATGCTTCCGGTCGCCTCCCTGTCAGTCTGACAGTCAGAAGCCTCTGAGTCCCACTGACCCAGCTGCTTACACAACAAGCTCTGCAGCTCACGCAAGAGGTCTTGGCAGGTGAAAGGCCTACCTTTTCTTCCTTTTCCTGCCTTAACTGAAGAGAATGAAGAAAAGAGGGATGAACTCAGGATGTGAGCCTACATTGTCTCATTTCATTCCTTCCACAAGCCTCCTTTTGTGCCCCTATTTTATACTTGTGCAAATTGGGGCCCATAAAGGCCAAGCAATTTGATCAAAGTCAGTCAGGGTTAGCAGTCAAGGCAGGTATAAGTGGGGATTGCTAGGCATGTGTTCCACGCACGGCGCCACCACAGACCTGTCTGCAGGGCAACCAGGACAGAGAGAGGTCACCAAGGGCAAGGTCACCGAGGGCATGGCCTCCATAACTGCCCTCTGCCTCTGATGGGTCTGTACCATAACCAAGAAGTAGGTGCATCTTCTAGGCTGTGGGTCAGTATCATAGTGTGGAGCCCTAACAATCATCACTTCCCATCGCAACTCACAGAACTGCTTCTGACTGTAATAAGGAGCTTGTGCCAGGAGCTTCTCAGAGCTCAGAGCCTCTCAGCTCCTTCTTAGAATATCTTCATCCCAACCCAGATGTGTTTCCTGGTTTGTCTTCTTGTTGTGCTTCTTGTCTTGCTGTTGTCTTCTTGTTAATATTCTGGTAGTTTTGTTGAAAACTCACAGAGGAATTTTAAAAAAGTAGTTGTCATGCCTTCTGCATTAGGCATATTCCCTGAATCCACCTTATCTCATATTCGTATTCTTCCGGTTCATTCATTGAAAATTTTGTGTTTAATTTTTAATCTCCTTCACTGCAATGAGGAAGGACAACTGTGTAGCCCTAAAAGGAATGTGCCAAGAATTATTCCACATGTTCTAAAAGTATTTGCACGGCCAGGCAGTTCTTATGTAAGGCGTATGTGTACATGTGTGCGTCTATCCTATTTATGTGTGTATACATACACCTATGCATATATGCAAGTGTATATATGTATATATATGCTTTTGCATTCCATATAGGCAAATGGAAACAAAAATAATGCTCTTGCTGTTTTTCTGAAACACAACACATGAGAACCCATTGAACCCAGCGTCACTACAGTTACCTGTTTCTGGCTCAGCTATTTTCACTAATTTGTGTTGCACACTCCCAAACCCCCATCAGTTCATATGCAAATCACTTACCTTAGTGGCAACAGAAGCTTCTGTGAGCTTTCCATATTTATGACACTGAAAAAGGGTGTTGCAGTCATGCAATTGTTCGCCAGGGAATTACTGCATCGAGCCCCTGAGCTCTGCTCTGACTCCACCTTTGACAGCACAAACACACACTGGAGAATTGTGCCCAAGAAATAAAGGAGCACTTTTGGTGGCCTCGCCTTGCCTGACCGCGCCAATGGTCAACAAAGGCTGAATTGTAAGGAGCAAAGATCCGACCTCCATATTGACATTTAGAAGCTGCTCGGCGCTCACTAGAACCCAGCACTGTTGGAACTATTTTCCAGCCACACACTCATGGAAGTCGCTTCTCTTGGGTGGTCCTGCTGCAATGAAATGCTTACTTTTTCCTCTGCTTGCAGGTCCGGCCAGGGAGAGAGGGGCCTGCCAAGCTGTCCCATGCGTCCCGCTTCTGTGCTCACGGCTCTCGAGCTTTCTCAGGGGCAGACTCCCGTAACTGGCGGAGGGGGCGTCACCGGCCACTGACAATGTCCTGAGGTCCCTGGCAGCCACGTAGACTGTTCCAGCAAGAGGGAGAGTGAGACCCAGCAAGGTGAGGAACCTGTGTGAGAAGACACATAGCCAGGCTTTCCTCACATGCCACCAAAATAAGTTGCAGAAAAAATAGGTTCATGGAAAGCAAAACCACTGACTTTGCAAGTAGGGGTGGGGTGATATTGGAGATTGAACCCAGGGCCTTTGCACTAGCTGGCTACACACTCAGAGTTTTTTATTTTATTTTACTTTATTTTACTTTTTATCTTGAGACAAGTTTTTGCTAAGTTGCCCAAGCTGGGTTTGAACTTGTGAACTTGTGATTCTCCTGCCTCAGTGACCCTCCCCGGCTACCATTGATTATTTATATGGCAACCGTTTAGCAGTTTTAATAAAGTGAAATGACATATTAAGAACAAAAATAATTTTAAAATTCACAGAGGAAAATATGAGTGAATTTCACTTAACTCTTTAACACCAAGGAAGCCGTGTGACTGAAGATTAATATGGCTTTTTAAAAAAATCAGTAAGGTCCCAGTTAACACAGTTGAGAAAAGAGGTGAAAACTGTAAAGGTTATTTCACAATAGGAAAACACAAGTGACAGATAAACTCTCCTCGCCAGCTTTTTTAAAGATGTAATTTAAACCAATACATTTACCTAGTAAATTGGTGCCTGTTTTTTGTGTTTTTTTTGGTTTTCTTCTGGTACCGGGAATCAAACTCCTGACCTTGTGCTTGCCAGGCAGACACTGTGCCACTGAGCTAAATCCCCAGCACCCGGTGCCAGTTTTTATAACAATGGCCTTGGTGCCAGTGAGAGGGGGGCAAGGCACAGTGGCTGCTCCTACTGGGCAGTAGAAATGAATAACAATTCCATTGTTATGAGCCAGCCATTCTATCAAATGCATCCTAAGGAATGGTCCAAAATGCGAACAAGGAGCAAAGGGCAAGGCTGTAAAGCAGCGCCTCCCGCAAAGGAATTCATCTTCCACATGGTCACATGGCAGCAAGGACAAGGCACATTTCTCAGTGGTCCTGATGCCTCGTGTTTGGGTGTGGTCAGCTCTCCCTGGGACACTTCCAGGTTTTCCTGTTTAAGGTATGTGGTGACCTCCCTATGTCTTAGTGACCTCAGGCTCCTGTACACAGTACCATAGGCTGAGTGGTTTATGAACAACAAAACTGGATTCCCACAGTTCCAGAGAATAGAAAGCCCAGGATCAAGACCCCAGAAGATACGGGGTCTGGTAAGGGCCCGCTTCCTGGGTCATGGCACCCTCTTACTGACCTCACATGGTGGAGTAGGCTGAGGGGGTCTCTGAGATCTCTTTTATAAGACCATTGATTCCATTCATGAGGGCTCTAATCACCGCCAAGAACCCTACCTCCTAATGCAAGGTAGGAGGGGCCTAACTTTCAACACAGGCATTTGGGGGGCCACAAACATTCAGACCACAATGGCCAACAAACAGGCATCATCGGCCAGATATTGCTCAGTAAATAAAACAAAATGGCTGAATGTGGTTGCTGAGGGGAAGCTGACAAAGAAGAAACACACAGGACCCTAGCTGAGCACCTCGGATGTTCATACTCACAGACACACAGCAGCGAAGGTGTCCAGGGGAAACATTCCAGCAGCACATCTGGCCACACTCCCGCCAGCCAAGGAGGAAGAATTTGATGCAAAGAAGGAGAGGGAGGGGGCTGAGAATGAGGTGTTCCTAAATCTTAAAATATCTACCAAGAGAAAAAGAAGCTGTATTCATATTTTAGTTTCTAATAATGCGTTACACGTTCCCAAGTGCTTTCCTTTTATTTCAAATAAAACTCTGACATTGAAAAGAGAAGCTGGATTTTAATATACAGTCAGCCCTCTATATCCATGGATGGAAGCAACCTTGGTCTGAAAATATTTGAAAAAAAAATCATATCTGTATTGAACATGTACATTTTTTGTTGTCAATTCCAAAACAATACAGTACAACAACTATTTACATACCATTTTGTAATATAATGCCTAATCTAAATGCTATGCAAATAGTTAATGATTTAAAGTATACAGAAGGACGTACATAAGTTATATGCAAATACTACCCCACTTATAAAAGGGCCTTGAGCATCCATGGACCTGGGTATCCTTGGAAGGAGCCTAGGAATCCACATTCCAGAAAGTTCTCAGGAAGCACACTGGGAACCGGGGCCAGGGTATTTCCAAAGTCTCAGCAAAGTGTGAGACACACTGGGTTTCATAAGGCAGCAATGCCAGCTATGAGAAACAAGCAATGCCACTGCTTTTGAAGCACACACTAGATACAAGGCATGTTCTGTTCATTATTTCTGATCTTTGAACAACCCTACAAGGAACTACTTTTTACCTTACTTTATGGACAAAGAGAATTGACCTTAGATAAGTTCGTGAATTTGAGCTTACCAGCTAAAAATACAGGTTCTCTGGTTTGGGATCCTGAATTCACTTTTATGATGTGACCTTGGGCACATTATTTAATAACTCTATGACTCAGTTTCCCTCTACCTTGGTAAAATTTGGAGAATAATAGTACCTACCTCATGGGGTTAGTGTGGAATTAAATGACACAATCATTGTAAAGCCCATAGAACAAAATCTGGCATATAGTAAGAGCTTAATAAATGTTGGTATTGTTGCCTCATCCACTACTCCACAATGTTAGGCTTAGATCCAAGAGGTTGAGGTCAGTTGCTGTGGTCAGCTGCTGCGGGATCTGAGCAAGTCGTTTCACCTCTCTAGGTCTCATTTCCTCACCCACGTAACAAGGAAGGGGTAGGCTGCATACAGCAGAATAATATCCCTTTCACCTCCACCACTCAGGGTTTCCAAAATGTCCAAATAGGCTGCTAAAAGATTAATACTGTGCAATTAAGTTTGATTCTTAATTGTAACATATCAAGGGCAAAAACAAGGAAGAGAAGGCATCTGTGTGTCTCCAGCCCTGTTCAAAAGTACAGCGCTTGATTTAGGTTTCCGCCAGTTCCCCCCAGGGATCTGATGGCAGAATTCCTCATTACTCAGTTCCCTTTGCTTTGGAATGCTGCCCCTGGAGCTACTTCCTGTTTATATATGGATCTCCCAAATCAGCTCCTCCCCTGAAGTGAAATATACTGAGCCACATCACATGTCTATTCCCTTAGAATTTCTACTTCTAATTTTAAAGGAATCAACTCTGTTTTCTCCTCCAGTCCCCTCTCCTCTGCTCCCCTGTGCTTTCCTTCCCTTTCCTTCAAGGAAGCACTCCCCAGCCTCCAGGCAATGTGCGTCAGGCCTCTAGAGCCAGCTGCCAGGAAGAACTGAGCAGATCCCTCCTGGGTCTGCAGCGCTAAGACCCGGCTCACCACCTGGTGAATCTACGCTGTTCTGTGAGGCCACAGCAGCCCGTACCTTTGCTGTCATCTTTTAACTGAACAGCAGGCATTGGAGGCCACAGGGAAATCCAACAGCAATATGAAAAAGTTTGTAGTACAAAAGAAGTTTTTTAAAGCTTATCTTTGGGCCGTATGTGCAACAAATAGGAAGGACAACAGAACAAGGAATAAAATGATAACATGTATGACTGGGATCCCAGATTAAATTCCCTTCACCTTCCATTGTTTCCGCCTGCCCCTGGTACTGGGAATTGAACTCACAACCTTGCACTTGCCAGGCAGGTGCTGTGCCACTGAGCTAAATCCTTAGCCCATTCCTTTGTTTTTGAAAGTATCTTTTGGACACACCTGACTCTTCCCTGCCTACACAACACAGACTTACTGGCACCTTCAAAATGCACCCCGGCTATCTTCCCAGGCAGTCTCTGAGTCTAACTCTAGGAGCTGTACTCACAAGCACTGGGGCTAAAAGTAAAGTCACAGTGGCTCACACAGAGTCCCGGGGCTTCCTTCTGCACAGCAAGCTGCTGCGGAGGAAACAAGGAGACCCAGGCCCTTATCACTGAGGTGGATAAATCTGAAGTTGACAAACGCCCTCCTACTGCAGGTTGACACCCTCTTACTGCAAAGATATGATTTCTGACAACATGATTTTTCCAGCTCTACAACTATAGCCGTTTTGCAGTGTAGCAGTGACTGAGGAACCTGCACACTGCTCTGGCCCTCCAGGAAGCCAGAAGGATTCCAACGCTTTTATAGGAACTGTGTCTCGGTGTATACATATATGTTTCTGCATGTGTCTGTATGTATGTGTATGCATAGATGTAGGTATGTATATGCGCATGTATGTGTATATATGTAGCTGGGTATATGCATGTGTATGTGTCTAAATGTGTGTGTGTTTCTATTTGCAAATATATATATATATATGTACATATATGTATGTTCTGGGGCAAGAGTGCAAGGGAGGCCTCTTTGAGACCCACCTACCAGCTCCTGGCCCTCCCTCCCCTCTTCTCATATCTGTTTCTGCATGTTCAGGTGCATTAAAGGTGATTGTGAACAATCTCAGTCCCACCTCCTACCTCACCTCCACTCCAGTCACACCTTAGTGTAGCTGGGCAGGGAACCCTGAGGTCCTCCATACTCAGACCAGGGGCCAGAAGAGAAGGAGCAGGCTCTGGATAGGTACATTCCCCTGGTGCTGCAAACATCAACCCACGGGGACAACCCAGATAAAGGAATCCCTTCCTAAAGGGGGCAGCCCAGGCAGGGACCTCCCTGGCTTGGTCCAAATACGGCACTGTGGGTGCCATTCCCCCTTCCTCCAGAGCATGTGCCATGCCTAATGTTGACCATGTGAACCCACAGACCCCAAGGGCCAGGGTGGGGGGAGATAATGGGTAGTGCAGAACTGAACCCAGAGTCTCCAAAAACAACTTACTAGGGACTGTACAGAGACTCAGCAACTCCTTTTGCTCCACAGAGGCAGCCCTGGGCCTGGCCACCTGACCCAGACTCTCAAGATGAGGCCACCTTGATGATTTGGATTTTCTAGGCCTGCCCAGCCTCCCCCAATACCTAAGTCAATCAGTATCTACAGGGCTCCAGAGATGTTTGGCCCCAGAAACACTGCAGACACATACCACACCCCAGTCTAAATTCTTCCACAATCAACAAAACTAATCTGAAGCCCACATCTGTTCAGTCAGCCCTACGTGTCTACACTGCACCAGGTTCCAGGTCTACTCGGGGAAATAAGAAGTCTTTATTAGAAAATTTTATTTGATCTGTTTCCTACCAACTTCTCACCCTACCCATCCTGTACTCCTCTCAAACAAGCCTGTCAGACACATTCCCAGGCCACAACTTCTCCTCCGCCCCACTCTCCCAACCCCTCAGATTATACAAGGTGTAATCGAACAGTACAGTGCAGACCTATAATACATCTTTTAAAATTCTAACACCACTGTACATATTGTTCACTCCTCCCTAGTGCTCAATCTGAGATCTAGCATTTATCTTCTGATAGCTTCTCCCAGTAACTTAGGCCCATACACCTTCCCTACTAAATTGTAGGTTTCCCAAAATGAATAATTCTCAACTGTTTTGGGCCTTCCAGCATACACGTGTTATGTCTCATACAAAGCCCTGATATAAAATCGCTCAGTAAATACTGTCTGAATTAAACTGCAAATACAAGATGATGTTCTGTGGAATGTTTTGGGTTCCTTTTGAATCCTTACCAAGAAAGGCGCTTCTGTGGCTAATTCAAGGAGCTGCTATTAAACACTTCTAATTTTTCATGCAGCACTGGGGAATCCATAAGAGAGAGGGCTGTGCAGGGAAACATCCTTTGCAATGCCCTCACTATTGCCCTACTAGTGGGCTGATAATTCCGATTATAGTAGGTGAAGCAAGGTGAAGGGAGCTCAGCAGAGAGCAGGGAAGAGGACAGTGTACATCTCCTTATGAAGGACTGTTAAACATCAACTTTGAGCAGCTCAGAATTCAATGCAAAATGGAGCAGTGCGATCATCATAAAATATACCATGAACTGGTTACAGGAGCCCTGGGAGCTGAATATAATAAGTGATACTGAAGTGCATGCATCTAATTTTTAGGGAAATAGCCTTAATTCGGATTTCATAATCGTCATATCAAAGGTTGATCTAAACTCTCCACACTCTGGAGTTACACATTTTTATTTTGTTTGGAAGGCTCACATAAAGTCTGCTGTGAGTCCCCTGTATAACATCTGTGACAACCCCTGTGGAGTGTTTTGCCCCAGCCTCTGGCAAGAAGCAGTCCATCCCCCTTTTCCAGGGCCTCTTCCCCTGCGACACTGCAATCGTCTTTTTTGGCCTGTTATGGATGCTTCAGCTCTGGCTGGCTCTGAGCAACATCTGTGCCAACAGCAGCCACCTGGCATTGCTGAGCTGGTCATCCTCACATCTGTAGAGGAAATACTGGCAACTCCATCAAAAAGCTTTAAGAAATAGCTGACAAATCCCTTCCAGATGGGGCCTTTTCCCCTGGGCAAAGAGGCTCTGGTTTTCCCACTGCCCGCATGCTGAAGCTAAGGAAACACTTTGGCCTCAGAGATTGAATTCCACCAGTACAGCTCCCGTCAGCTCTCTGCCCCTTTGCAGTTCCTTCGTCCCAGTACAACTTTCTCAAAATCCATCTCTACTGGTGGGAATTATTGCTAAGGTGGCATTTTATTCTAATGGCAACTCTAGCTAGCAGGGTTAGCAACAGTCAGAAAAATGAGTGTAATTGATAAATCTCTTAGATGAGAAAGACCACTTGTGAGACTTAGGTCCTTTATTCACTTGAAATGCAAACTTTATAATAATTATAAATGTATCTTTGTTTCAAGGATACTTATGGCTTATCCAACAAAAAATGGAATTTTAATTTTACTTTAGAGAGAAAAAATAAAACAAAATTTCAAAACAAGATAATAGGAGAGTAACAGTGGTTAATACATTGGGTATTGATATCTTCAGAGTCATTGCTCAGAGTACAAGTACAAGAAAAATTGTCCAAACAATATTGGCACAAACCTTTTTTTTTCAATGAACTAAGAGAAATTAGTAGTGTAACTATCTTAACTCTCTTGGGTATATATATTTTTTCTTTTCCCTTCCTTCCTTTCTTCTGTTTCCCCCATCCCACTTTCTCTTTCCTTCCCACTTCATAAAATCTATTATACACTTTAGATCTTATTTACTCTTTCAGCTTCTCACACGAGGGAGACAATATTATGCTTACATGTGTGTCTGATTTATTTCACTTGAAATCCATTCACCTATAAAAGTCTCAAGTTTATCCTTCTTTATGGCTGAGTAATACTCCATTGTATAAAAAAACTCATCTTTTTTATCCATTCTTCGACTGATGGGTATTTGGGCTGTTTCCAAGATGTAGCTATAACAAATTGTGCTGCTATAAACATGAGTGCACACATATCGCTGTGGTCTGCTGTTTTTAATTCTTCTGGGAAGCTACCCAGAAGAACAGCTCGGTCAAATGGGCCCTCTCATCCTAGTTTTTTGAGAAATCTCCACACTGATTTCCACAGTGGTTGCACCAGTCTGCATTCCCACCAACAGTGGAGAAGTGTTCCTTTTTCCCCACAGCCCCTCTAGAATTTGCTGTTGGTTGACTTCTTGATGATAGCCATTCTTTCTGGGGTGAGATGGAATCTCGGTGTTATTATAATTTGCATCTCTCTAATGACCAATAATGTTGATCATTTTTTCATATATTTACCATTTTTATTTCTTCCTCTGAGAAATGTATATTCATTTCAGATGCCCATTTTTGTTGGTCTTTGAATTTGGGGGGTCTGATTTTTTTCAATTTTTCTATGCTTTATATATAAGTCTTTTGTCCGAGGGACAGCTGGCTATAATTTTTCCCACTCTGTGGGTTATCTTTTCACTCTGTTGGTGAAAAAAACTGGAATTTGAATTTGATTCATAGCAAATTTTTATTTCTTTCAGTGCTGGAGATGGAACCCAGGGCCTCGCACATGCTAGGCAAGAACTCTACCACCAACTTACACCTGCAGCTCTTGTTTGGCTTTTCTGTTTTAATAGTACAGGAAATACTAGGCTAGATAGATAACGTACCCAAAGCCATAGGAACCATCACATGGTCAAGGCAATTTAACGTTATCATAAACTAGCTGCAATATCAGCACCTTAAAGGAGAACAAATCCAAAAGACACTGGCAGCAGAAAGTTTCAGGCTTTAAGTTTCTTGCATGGACAATTTTGGAAGACTTAGAGGAAATCAAATCCATTTCCATGTGGACTAAAATGTGTTCCTCCTACATAGCTAAGGTCAGAAGTGATTATAGAGTTGGAGCCAGCTGAGTTTCAGAGCCCACCCGCACTTCACAGCAGAGGCTGAAGCTTGGGGAGATTAAGTGATTTTCCCAAGCTCACACAGCTGGGAAGTGACAACCAGGACCAAATGCGGGAGTCTTAGCACTAATCCTCTACAACACATTGGCCTCATACAGTCCTAGTTCAGAATGGCCTCTGGATCCAGCCGGTGCCAAACACATGGGCCAGAGCAGAGAACAAGCACAATATGGAACCTGGACACCACCCACCTCCTCTCTCCAGGCTAACCAGGCAGCTGTAGGTGAGGGAAGACTGTTTAACTTTATATCTTTATCACATATTCAGCTTCCATCTCCTCATTATGGTCTTTCTCCTCTCTTCCTGCCTACTCAATTGCTATGCCATCCCCTCTGTTCCCAAGGCCCTCCCCCCAGCACTCCATTAATCTCAGGTTAGTGGACCAATGAAGATGAAAGTTTGGTTCAACCAAACTGTCTTTGTTGGCTGTAAGAAGTTGGGGTTTTTAAACTTTCTGCTGAGGAAACAGTTTCACTGTGTGTTCCTTCGTACCTACCCAGCTGAGATATCATAGTCACATCCTCTTCAGTACAAGAATCAGGGACACATACACCCACACTGTACTCGGCTCCCTCCTGGGAAACACAATGCCACAGTGCTTTTTAATTTCAGTGTTCATAGCACATATGCATAATCATTTCTAAATAAGTCTGCTGCTGGGCTACTCATACATTAAGCAGATTGACAGAGAACACGGTGTTGAAAGAAGAAAAGGTTTCTAACTTCCTAAGACATGGCTTTTCCATTACGTGAATTTCAAGAACACTAGATGAGCCTATGTTTAAATTAAAATACGCCCCCCAGGTTTAATATAGCTGATTATTTAAGAAGCAGCCACTGGTTTTGCATAATCTGTCCCAATGAATCTCTGTTCCAGATGAGAGGTCATTAACAGCTAATCCCACTATGATTTTTAGCCAATTGCCAAGTTGCCATCTCTGGGTAGCAAGCTACAATGTATTAAGTAATGATTTTATTAATAAATCAAGCCAAAAATTAGAATGTCTGTCTCAATAAACAGAAGATAAAATTGTAAATAAAATTTCTGGGTTATTTCTTATAAACTCATAACTTACATAATTGTATAGATCTGACCTTTTGCTTGTATATCAAAAACATTAATCTGCTTTGACAATGACATTTGTACACGCTGATTAAACCCTCAAGCAATCATTATCCTAACCCTCAATAAAACAAAGGAGGCTGAATGGTAATCTCCCCAAGTCCATGGTTAGCCATTGTAAGCGTTTTAGGCATTAATATCAGAAAGCTTGCATTTATTTCAGAAAATTGTTTTTAACCAACTAGTTCTGTAAATTCCTTTTATTATTGTGTGACATGCATTAAATCTATCCTATATTTAATAAGAGACTATGCTACTCTTAGTTTTTTTCCGAGCAATAGAAGGATTGTGCTTTGAGGATAGTGAGTCCAGCAACATGGCTCAACTGATTCAGTAATGGACTTATAAAGACATGGTTCATCTGCTAGGATAACCTCAAATTTGTGTTTAGAGCTCTGTTTCTGGGGAAAAGGAAATGGAAGTCAATCCTCCCTCTAGTATTCCAAAAATTGATGGAAGTCAGGAGCTAGTGCTGAGGAACTGTGTTCAAATCTCCTTCCCTTGATCAGTATGGTACCAGGAGGCTCCCCAGTGGCAAGGATATGGAGTAGGGATTTGGCAGGGAGCACAGTGAGAGCCCTCAACACCCCAAGAACAAGAGTCACTGCTGGATCCCAGCAGTGGCTGTGCCTGGAGGGAGCTTCCAACCAACCCAGTGAACATGTGCAGGATCTTGCTAGTGAAGTTGCTGACCAGGACTTGAAGTGGATTCTCCACGAAGATCATCAAGAAGTCTTGCCCCATACTGTGTGGTTTGTGGACAAGTCCCTCATATAATATCCCATACAGAATAGACTAAACCAGTTTCTACCAACTATTAAAATTTAGCTTCAATTTTTTGCAAAACATTGTAGTAGTTTTTTTGTTTTTAATTAAGAAAAGCAATTGGTGTATTTTGTCCCATATCATGACATTCACTTGTCTTTCAAAACCAAGTACATACACCGGGCGTGGTGGCACACGCCTGTAATCCCAGCACTCGGGAGGCTGAGGCAGGAGGATCGTTGCGAGGTCAAGGCTAGCCTAGTAAGCTCAAGGCCAGCCTGAACCGCATAGCAAGACCGTGTCTCAAAAAAGACAAAAAAAAAAAATTACAGAGTAAAACCAAGTACACAGGTCCCTCATGCTCACCTGGAGTATATGAAGCTTGCAATACTGCCCTTGGAAGCTTCTAGTGGGGCTTTGGGTAGAGAGACACTCGCTGTAAGATCCCAGCCTGTCCAGGTTGCCGTTAAGAATGTTGCTCCCAAGCTTCCCCAAAGAGTCATACACTGAATTGCAAAGCAAAGAAGTTTGCAAAATTAGCTTCCGATATCACTTTCAAGTGAATTTACAGGAATGGGGCTCTACCTTCCAAACCTATAAACTTAGATAACTGAAAAAAGGAGAGAGACAGATTTATTCCGATGCCACTCTTTGGCAGCCTCACTCTTCAGCAGGAGAGAACAATGAGGTATACACCATGTCATGATCTGTCAGCAGTTGCTGAAAAAGATGAAGAGTTGGTTTTCTTTT